TTTTGTTGTTGGCTTTGTAATTTTTTTATTATTATTGAGAAACATATATGCTAAGAAATTTTAATTTGATCATTAAATTCATGTAAATTTGTTATTTGTTTATAATTATATTATTATTATTATTATTATTATTATTATTATTATTACTACTACTACTACTAGGGCTCAACAATATATTGTTTGAGTATCGATATCACAGTGTGTACCGTAATAGTCACATCGCAGGATTAAATTGTTCAAGATATCAACCTAATTGTTTTTTTTTAATATAGAATTCATTTTAAATTTTAAAAACTATTAAATACATAAAATATTTAATTAAATTTAATTTGTGAAAAATATTACTAATATTAATTAACATTTAAATATATAATTAGCAAGAAATGTGCAGTAAATATTATAATTATTAAATACAAATACATATTGTTAGTTTGTTTGTTTGTATACTTTATTGTCCCTCAAGGACAAACTTTCTGAGGATTCGCACATCACTTCAGCAAGTTCTGACACAATAACAATTAAAATAAGCAATTTAAATTAAATAAACAAATTTCTTAGCATTTATTAAGTTTCTCAATATTATAATAATATTGATAAATAATTAAATAATATTTATTATTATTATTATTATTATTATTGTATTGTTATTATTATTATTATTATTATTATTATTAGGGCAGAACAATATATTGTTTCAGTATCTATATTGCAATTTTGTGTTCCGTAATAGTCACATCACAGGTTTAGTTTATTTACTAAAGATTAAAAGATAAAGATATTATAAAATATTATTTTTATATTATTGTATACATGTATTTAAACAATGATGACCATGTTATTTTATGTTTGATTGTTCAATTTCTATATATGAATACTGTTCGACTCCCCAGAAAACCATAAAGCACTATTTATTTAAATTGATCAGCCCAGTGGATCCAAACTAATGAAATCTTTGCAAATAAAACTATTCAAGTCATCTGATGAAAAATTATACTTATATCACAATATTTATTGTGGCAAAACAAAATATCGCAATGTCCGATTTTTCCAATATCATGCAGCCCTAATTATTGCTACTACTGCTGCTATTATACTGTTCTTATGCCTAAAACATAACTTGTTTGAATTATGTGTTTAATAAATCTAATAATGTGGCACTATGGAAGCAATTAACATGACAAATTTAACACAATTTTATAAATTGTTCTTTAGAATTATCATAAAATTTGACTAAATATGTCTAAAAGCTAAATACCCACCAAATAACTTTTTAGTGATCTCAGACTTTCAGCTCCCTGCTGTGCGTATTTATTAGTAAAGTCTGATTCAGAATCAGCCATCAGCTGTTATAGCCCACTCTTCATTAGAAGAAAGCAGGAAAAAAAATACCGTCCAATCCAACCTTTTCTAGATAAACGTGCTCCCGGTGATGAAGGTGAGTAAAAGCGTCACACGAGAATCTTTGAGGATCTTACTGTAGAGCGGAAATTCCCAAGATCAGATAGCAGGCCAAATGAGCAGGCTTTCTGTGAATGAGGCTCAGAGGGATCATTCAACTAAAAACGAGCATTTACTCACCACTTACTGACACTTAAGTGGATGAGCGTCTTTGTTCTGTTGAACACAATTAAAAGTGACTTCCAAGGTAAGAAAAAAAAAGTTGAGTTTTTTTGCCGGGCAAAAATTAATCACAAAATTAATTGCATCCAAAACAAAACTTTGTTTTGACATAATATATGTGGTTTCCCCCACAGTCCAAAGACATGCTCTACAAAGTGTGATGTGTAATGAGTGTGTGTGGGTGTTTCCCAGTGATGGGTTGCAGCAGGAAGGGCATACACCTAGATTAATAAAGGGACTAAGCCGTAAATATATATATATATATATATATATATATATATATATATATATATATATATATATATATATATATATATAAATATATAAATGCGTTAATCTATTCTCAAAGTTGGGTTGTGAGCTGGGTCTATTCTACGCATGCTATTATGACTTTCACCTTAATATTTTAACGCAGATGTATACCTGACCAGCGAGCTGTGCCCTTCTGAATTAAATCAAGCCCTTCTGCAGTTCGGCAGTTTTACTTTAACTCATGAACATTTCATTCATGTCACTGTGATAAACTGAGGTATTAGACGCAAATAAGCGAAAAAAAAACAAAATAAGAGTAAAGACTGGTGTTATGTAATTTAATAATGCACAACAAACGGAAAGAAAAGAACTTTTGCATTTCGCCATGTGTGTGTGTACGTGCGTGTGTGCGTCTGTTTGTGTGGTGCCTTATTGACAGCTACATGTGTGGATCTTGTCGGAAAATATGCTGAAAAGTCAAACTTGACAGTAACAGTTTGATTGCTTTGTTTACTTCAGTAATATCACTAATATATGCATACGTCACGTCTTAATTCCATTTCTGTTTAGATCAGTTATGACTTCGGTCAGATTAAGGTTATCAAAAATAGCTGTGTCGAGTTTATGTAGGCCTTCAGTTCAAAATTCATGTTTAACTGAATAAACAGTTTGTAAAGTACATCTTATTTAACAACATTTACATTCATCACCAATTATCATAGTAGAACAGTTTCCCAAGCAGTTTGTGATGCATTTTGGAAACAGGAGATGAGCCCCTGGTCTTATGCGCCACCTGGCTTGAGAAACAAATTATCAAAAACTTAATTATTTTGGTAGCACGCATATTCTGAATACTTCGGCAGAATTCAAATGAGCCATTTTAATCTAGATTAAAAAAAATGTATCTATGCCCACCTATAACATATATACCTAGGTAGTTGGCGTTTCTGTGTGGAGTTTGCATGTTCTCCCTGCATTCGCGTGGGTTTTCTCCAGGTGCTCCGGTTACCCCCACAGTCTAAAGACATGCGGTACAGGTGAATTGGGTAGGCTAAATTGTCCGAAGTGTATGAGTGTGTGTGTGGATGTTTCCCAGAGATGTGTTGTGGCTGAAAGGGTATCCGCTGTGTAAAAACTTGCTAGATAAGTTGGCGGTTCATTATGCTGTGGCGATCCCGGATTAAAAAAGGGACTGAGCCGACAAGAAAATGAAATGAATGAATATATACACAGTTGAAGGTAGATCCCCCCTGTTTATTTTCCCCGTTTTCATTTTAACAGAGAGCAGATTTTTTCAACACATTTCTAAACATAAAATTTTTAATAACTCATTTCTAAGAACTGTTTTATATTATCTTTGCCATGTTAAATGTCATTTGGGAATTATTTAAAAAATTAAAAAAAATAATAATAATTTAAAGGGGGGCTAATAATTCTGGCTTCAGCTCTGTGTGTGTGTGTATATATATATATATATATATATATATATATATATATATATATATATATATATATATATATATATATATATATAGTTGAAGTCAGAGTTATTAGACCCCTGTTTATTTTTTCGCTGTTTTCTGTTTGAGCAGATTTTTTTAACACATTTCTAAACATTAGTTTTAGTGACTCATCTATAATAACTGATTTATTTTATCTTTGCCATGATGACAGTAAATAATATTTTACTAGATATTTTTCAAGACACTTCTATAATGCCTAAAGTGACATTTAAAGGCTTAACTAGGTTAATTAGGTTAACTAGGCAGGTTAGGGTAATTAGGCAAGTTATTGTACAATGATGGTTTGTTCTGTAGACTATCGGAAAAAAATTTGCCTAAAAGGGATAATAATTTTGTCCTTAAAATGATGATTAAAAAAATTTAAAAACTGCTTTTATTCTAGTCAAAATCAAACAAATAAGACTTTCTCCAGAAGAAAAAAATATTATCAGAGATACTGTGAAAATTGACTTGCTATGTTAAACATCATTTGGGAAATATTTTTAAAAAAGAGAAGAAAAAAAAGCAAAGGGGGGTTAATAATTCTGACTTCAACTGTAAATACAAAATACACATTTATTATGACAAAACCTTTATTGTAGATCTGATTAATCATAATTAACCTTTGCCCAGCACAACAGGTAACCAACATTCTACATTCTACCAACAGGTTTGGAACAAGTGTAGGGTGAGTAAATGTTGACAGAATATCATTTGATTTATTTTTGGGTGAACTATCCCTTTAAGCGTGCGTTTTCAAAAATAAATGTATCTGGCTTCTCTTACGCCCTCTGGTGTTTGAAATATAGAGGTAAAAAATGCTGGTCTCATTGTATGGCTTTGCAAAGCATTTGGACATTACTATGTACAGTAAGTATGTTATTTCCAATAAGGTAACATACTAAATTATTCAAAGATGTTGTCCTCTAAATGCAGCCATTAATAGATATTTTCATATGCCATTTCTATTAAATGCAGTTTTTACAGCTGAAGATGTTCAGTAAATTATATAATTTCCTTTATCATTTTGGGTTAATTTTAAAATAACAATGACAATATATATGTATATTTAATTTATAGCATTTTACTTTAATTTTCAAAAGATTTATATAAAAATAAAAACAAAAAAATACATTATTATTTTTAATTGTTTAAAAATTGTTATAAGAAACTTTTAAAGATTTAAAAAAAAAACTCAAAAGGAACCCTCATATATTACTTTTTTTTGCAGCGCCGGTCTTAAAATATAAATTCAGATCACAAATTAAGATGCCAATTAAAAAATAGGAAGAAAAAGAAGAAAAAATATATATATAAAATTCAAAATGTACGCAGTTGCCCTAATCCGACTCATTTTATGTCTTGTTTGCATTTATTCAATTGACAGACACTTTTATTCAAAGTGACTAACAAGTAAGAGAACTAGAAGCCAGTCAAACCAACAGAAAAGCAAACAATGCGTTGTTATTAACTCTTTTGCATGTTTTAAACTCTATTGTTTCCCTTGAACTTGAATGTGACTGAAAAAAGCAGCACTTACATGCACAAAAGTAAATGGGTAGCGCCACCTTGTGGAATGTACTACAAGTGTATGATCTGTGCTACATCCATGTGCTAGTCTCTCACCGGAATGCAGAACTCCTGAGAGAGGTACTTCAGTACAGCTGCTTCCTGGCCGAGGAAGTTACTTCTGTGTGTCAGATTTCCGGGAAGTGACGTGTCAAACTCCTTCCGCACAACAGAGGCCACAGAATCCAAGATAACCAGCCCCGCTCGACAAGCAATGATGTCCTCCTCCAGACGCTCAAGCCTGGGTGACATCCGAGCAGCATTAATGTTTTCATGAGCTTAAACGACACAGCCTGACCTACTGTACTATTTCAGATGATCATAATCTCAGACTCATTTATGCAATAATTGTTTTGCAAATACTGTGCAATGTTATATTTAAAGTTTTTACTCATTGCTAGGCCCACACGGAATCTGCGCGTGCAGAATTCCGCAGATTTTCCACAGATTTTCTGCAGAATTCCACAGATTTCTGCAGATTTTTAACTCATTATAAATTCTGTTTATTTACTTGAATAAATGTTTAAATCTGAGTTTATTAAGTTTTTATTCAGTAATTTATTACTTTTTATTTAATATATCAAGGTTTTAGTTATGATACTCTGCTGGATACTCCCAAAATAATTCCACAGAAATCCGCAGATTTTTACCAAAATTCTCTGCAGAAATAACAAAAAACTTCAGCAGATTCCGTCTAGCCCTGCTCATTGCATTGGTTTACATTCATGCTTTGGGCAGACAGTTTTGATCGCAATTACTTCAATTGCAATTTTTGAATATATATAAATTTTTAGTATTGCATTTTATTCTATAAAAGTTCTGATTGCGTTTGTATTTTTTATTTTATTTTTTTTCACGAAAATGATAGATGGTGAGAACAACAAAAGTTTAGATTTTTATACATTTGTTGGGTGTTTTCCACTAAATGTTTTCTTTCTTTCTTAATGTTAAATTACTGGTATGGTATTGGAAGCATATGTTATTGCGAAACGGATATAAACACGCCAGAAAAAAATATTAACTAGTTTACTCAAAAAAAATAAAAAATGTTTAGAAGAAATATTAGAAGTAGGTTATGGGACAGAATAAACATTATGCTCTACTCGGACTTTAAATATGAAACTTCAAAAATATAAATTATATAACTATACATAAGTCCAAAGAAAACGAGAATTTACAAGTTGTCTCTCTCATTTTAGCTAAATGTCACTGCATTTAATTAACACACAATAGCATTGCAACAATAAAATAAAAATACAATACAACAAAAAGTTTTGGGTTAGTATGATAATATAATACTTTTTCAGCTAGAATTAGGCGTGTAACAAATCACAACCCACAGTTTGGAACGCACGTGACTAGGCAAGGGCCGGTAAAAGATTCTGACCGTAATATAACCTTGGATAAAAATATTACAGTTTGACAGTATTGTGATTAGGGCTGCACGATTCTGACAAAAATGTGAATCACAATTTTATTTTATTTTTTGCTTAAAATCAAGATCACGATTCTCTCTCACAATTCTGTAAATGTAAAATAAAGGTTAATATGATTAGCCTATTATTATTGTTAATTCTCAACCATTTGGTAAACAACAACAATAACAGGCCTATGTGTAGCTCTACTGTTGCTTAAAATCACTCAGATCACTCAGATCATTAGGATCATATAAACTAGAAGTTCCAAGAGTTCAGTCAAAGCAGGGTGAATCGGCTTTTAGCCACTATGCCCCTCGCTGCTGGAATCAGCTTCCAGAAATGATCAGATGTGCTCCAACATTAGGCACATTCAAATCAAGACTGAAAACACATCTGTTTAGCTGTGCCTTTACTGAATGAGCACTGTGCTGCGTCCGACAGATTGCACTATCATGTTTTTCTCTTCTTCTTCATTCTTTTATATCACATTTTACCTGTTTTTATGTTTTGTTTTGTTTTTATTATTTGTTTTTTATTTTTATTTTGCTTGTTTCTTTTATTCTTGTTTATGTAAAGCACTTTGAATTGCCATTGTGTATGAAATGTGCTATATAAATAAACTTGCCTTGCCTTGCCTTGCCTAAAATGCTAAGTTTTGTATTATGGTGGACTTGAACAGATTTTCAATATGTCCTGTTTGTTAATTCACAGTAAAATGATGACATCAGAATACAACTATTCATAATTATAAAATTAAATTATTATGTTTGAGACATGTGCTTGTCATCTGTCATTGTCATTATATTTCCATTATACATAGGCTAGGGTTGTTATAATGACACAGTAAACATTCATTTTCATGCACAACTCTTCGTGTTCGCTAAGAAAGAAAAAACATATTGAATGCATGTCATAATCATAACTCTAAAATGCCAAATGATCAATTAAAAGATGTGCGCACAGGTTTCACTTTCACTTCCTAGTGCATCTCATGACTGCTGTCGCTGTGAGAAAAAAAAACACATATGCAAATCAAACCTCCCGCACGGCCCTCAAACGATCCCTCTGTGCAACAAACTGAACTTTATTTACAACTTCACTACCTGTTATTCGCAGCATATGCAGGTTGTGTTCACTAAAGTAAGCGTCATTTGCATGCACGCGCGCGTTCTCGGCAGCATTATTACATGAAGACAGAAATTACATATTGGGTGAATTATACTTTATAAATACAGTATGTGACACTTTTAACGCCATTTGAAGGTGTCAATGTTGCTGTGAAGACTTCTGCGACCGCCTTTTCTTCTTTCCTGACCTTGAAAATATAATTGGCTGAATCATTGAAAAATCTGAATTAGGATCGCGTGTAGGGTCGAATCGAGATCGTGATCTTTTTTGATTAATCGTGCAGCACTAACTGTGATCACTGCTCTAAAATATGATCTTTTTAAATGTCTGGGTAAAAAAGCAATAATTTTTTCCCATTTGAACACAAAATGTTTTTTTGAGAAACGTTTAAAATATTTTGTAACAGTAAACATGTCAGACTAAATAATTCAAATGAATTATGGACTTGCGCTGTCTTTATTAGATTCCAAAACACGGATTTCTTTACACTTTAAAGGTTCAGGACACCCCGGAGAACTTTTGTTTTTTATATTAACAGATGTGTGTGTGTTGAGCATCAGTTAAGACAATGTTAGCACCTGTCAACTTTAATTGTGGGGAAAACTGGATAATTTTGTGCTTTTGTCAGCTAATTTCAGCTTCTGGGTTTAAAAGGATTTTTGGGGCGGGATCAAAATCGGCGACGTAGCGCAGTACAGCAAGTGCAATGATGACGCGTCATTTTCTCATTATTATTCATAGCGGAGTTTTCTAATCCTATGAGAAGAGCCGGCTGCTTAATTATTCATGAGACCTGCCAGACCTGCCAGTGTCAAGCCCGAGCTGAGAAACACGGAAACCACGGCACAGTATTTAGCCGTTCATGAAGGCTCATATGCGTTTGTTTCCATCATCCACAGGGTTTGTTGCATGTTTTCCCCCGCAATCTTGTCAGGGCCGAACATACAGCAAAGCTGTGTGCGTGCTGCTAGCATTTTTGTCGGGAGAGCAGCACGAGAATTAGAGAATGGCGGACGCTGTCTTTTATCAGGAGTTCGTTCACATTCAGACACATCGCCGTGCTGCTGTGTTTGCCTAAATCCTCTAGATTACCAGCAGGGTTAATGGTTAAAATAGACAGGTCAGGAGACCTGCTGCACTGAGTCTGCTGGATACGGGGATTGAGGGAAAAGTCCTCATTTATAGTGTTTACATGAACAAACTTATCTTTAAAATGATATAAATTATGGTTATGTGTATATGAAATTACAAATAACAAATGTAGCAGGGCATTAAATCACTGTTTATTTCTTTGCATTTTAACCTTGTAAACTATAAACTCATGCGTCTCCTCACGGTTTGTGTCTCATTTTGTGAGCTAACTGACAACAACAGTTTTTCGCTCACGTTCTCTCCTGCTGGCTACGCCCACTCCTGCCCAATGCTCGCTGAGCTCCACGCCCATTAATCATGCATCTTTTGAAAAAATTCTGAAGTAGACTTTAACCGAAAGTGGGGGGTGTCATGGCCCTTTAAAATGGCATCTGCTGGAGATACTGTTGTCCTAAAATAATAAAAACAAATTTTGAAAAAAAAATTTTGGCGGTTTTACAACCTTGACTTTTCCAAACCGCAGTATACCTTGAAAATCCCATGCCTACACATGGCCCACGAATTAATCATTTTTTTTTTACTTGCAGGTTAATTCAACATTTAGAACAATTGCAGAGAGATCGCCTCCCGTATCATTCAAATCACATGTATGAAAGCATTTTGTCTTCTCTGTAAAATGTAAAGATGACGGGAAAAGTTGTTGTGGGACCTAAATGCTTTCTTAGTCTGCATTAATGCATTTAGTGTAAAGCTGCACAATTAACCATTAACAGATCGTGATCTCAATTCAAACCCACGCAACATGAATGATAAATAATAATGACTTGGAAATGTTTATAGGGTGTTACGAACGATTAAAATACAAAAGTGCTGGGAGAACAGTTTATAGTTCAGTAATAAACACTGAGGTTTATGGTAAAGATTAAAATCAGAGTTAAATGAAACTTGACGCTGGTGAATGTTGTAGTAATTACATTGTTTAACCAATGGTGGAGACAAATAATCAAAATTATGGCACTGAATAGGTTTTATAAAGAAACCTATTAAGAAGCATTAAGTTTTATGTGTGAATTGTTAAATCATTAATTAAAAATACATATGATATGTTGTACAATTTCTAGATTTAGCATTATCAGCAACAGTAGCAAAAATCCTTTTTTGTATTGAATATTTTCCTTTTTTCCTGCTGGTTCTTTCTTGATTTTTATTTACATTACAGGTTCTAAGTTCTGTTTTTCTAAGTATGGCTTTTATTTTTGTATAAATGGGAAGCAAATGACATTTGTCTCCTCCCATTTTTGCTGATCCGAAAAATGGTCTGATCGGTGACTCAAAAACAGAGCAGGGATTCGAACCGTGAGATTTGTAATCCGTTATACCACTTGCTAGAATGCATTAGTATTACTGTTATTATTACTATTATTTTATTATTATTGACAACAAAAGACATTTATAATCACTGAGAACACCAAAGTCATTATTGATTGTTAGGCATTCACAAATAATTCTTTGATAATAATAATAATAATAATAATAATAATAACAAAAAATAAACTACAATGTAAAGTTTTAGATTAGTAAGATAAAAAAAAACTTTAACTTGAATGCATTATTATTATTATTATTATTATTTTATTTTTTTCTGTAAAATACATTTACAATGAAATATAAATCACAAAACCATTTTTGATTTTTAGACATTCCAAAATATTATAATTATTTCTGAAACATGATGTCAAAGAAAAAATAGCTTTAAACAATTATTGCAATCTTTCATATTACTTTTTTTTTACTGTAAAATAAATCTTTATAAACTGAGTCTTGGAGTGCATACAAATAATTACAAACTTGACAGCCTAAAACCTGTATAGTCATTTGATTAATGAGTTGAGAAACCTCATTTTAATCCAGACCAACAAGCTTAGATGAATGAAATACAAATATAAACATTCCCTGAAATAACAGTAAACTGAACTGCATAATGTATACAGGTGTTCAAGAAACATTCCAACCTCTTCAGGACATCCTGACAGGTGAGTTCCCTGAAGAGATGAACACGAGCTGCCATTTCCAGCAGACGCTCCTTTACCGAGAAGAACTCTGGGAATCTGGACTGGGCCATTTCTACCAGTCTAAGAGAAGAAGATGGTTTGTTAAAGAGAAAACAAAAGACGTGCAGATGAGAAAGATACAGAGTTGATATTCTGAACACCTTTCAGCAGAGAAGGCCGACTCCGTGTCAATATAGACCACTCCACTGTCCAGACCGCCCAGACTCTTGGGTAAAGTAGCCAAAACACTGAGCATCATGCACAACTGAGTCTTTCCACAGCCTGACGGACCCGTCACCTGACAAACACAAGAGACGGCTCACGCTAAACTCATCATTACATCATTTACTCATTCTTTACTTCTTTCAAACCATTACGAGTTTCTTTCTTGTGTTGAACACAAAAGAAGATGTTTTGAAAAATGCTGAAAACCTGTAACCATATATTTTCATTTATTTGTTTTTCCTACTCTGGATGTCAATGGTTGCAGGGTTTTCATCTTTCACCAAAACATCTCCTTTAGTGATTTAACTGACTAAAAAAAAACTCCCTAAGGTTTGAAACTACATGAGGGTGAGTAAATAATGAGTACATTCATACATATATAAAGACACAGACAGATGTCAGACTGTTAACTCACTTTTATCATCATTTGCATGAAAGTGCAATTATTTACAGAGTCAGCTAACAAGTATTTTAATATAACATTTTTAAAACTAGGATGATGGTTCAATATGAATAGATGATGGTTCAATATGAATAGAACAGATCCAAGAATTGTCCATCCCAGTCAAAACAGTCGAAGTTTTGCGGGTCTCATGCTGGCATTAGCCAAAATATTTTGACAAACCACACATAAAGGTCGTGGTTCATCAGCTGGTCCTGTCCACGTAAATCCTAAACTCAAATACTGATCATCATATCGTCGTCTTTTGGGTTTAAGCCCTGAACTTGAAGGCTTTTGTGGAGAGGGGGCGTGGCCGAGAGCCGTGGGAACGGAGTGAGGCCACCGCGTAAGTGGATACACCTGCGGTGCGCACCTGCCTCGGATCCCACAGAAGGAGCTCTGGATCAAAAGGAGGAACGAGGACAGGGGAAGCCGAGAGAGCACCGGGCCCGGACATATTTTACTTTTGCTTTCCGTTTGACGGCAGTCTCCGTAAGGAGCTGCCGTCCGTTTGTTTTGGTTTAGACGGCAGCCTCCGTGAGGAGCTGCCGTCACTGTTATTAATAAATCATTTTAAAACTGCGTCGGTTCTCCGCCTTCTTCCCGGTGGCCAAAGGGGACTTCATTACAGCTTTGAATCGAGGGATGGGGGGGGGGGGTCTCAGAAACCGACCCATTGTTTTAGCAGGCATATACCTGTATTGGCGGGCTTGCCAAACAGAAGCGAATTCACAGCTATGGCCTTCTGGGTAAAAAGGTTTTCTTATATTTGACGTATTGTTTTTTTGCTTTGTTTAATTAAAACGTTTAAATGTAATAAACAATACATATAATAATTAAACTTAATAATTATATTTTTATTATATTATATTTTTTCCTGCGCCTCCCCTGACATGCTCTGGCACCCTTCAGGGGAGGCGCGCCTCACACTTTGAAAACCCCTGGACTAGGACATAAAGCTTGTAAAAACATCTGTGCAATGCAATTCCCCAGCATATAAATAGATAAACAACTGGAATATTTATGAGTACATGTGATATACAAGTGTCTTTTTAATAGGTACTATTAAAATATGTCTAATAAATAAGTACTTGTATCTAACAAACAATTAGTTTCTAAGGAATAAATGCCAATTAACTTATGAGGTTATAATACAGGTTATGTTTAGGAATTGTAGCATGTATGCATTATTCATTGTAATTACTACAGTAATGTGTATTCATATAGCGCATTTATTGTGAATGGCCATACATCCAAAAGGCCACAGGCCTAAGGCGCCAGTGAGCTCACCAAAAATAAAAAAATGATTTCGGCCAAATAGTTGCAAACAATTTACATGGTCTGAATTTCAACAAAATTAAAACTAACTTTTGCAGCACGGGATGGGCATTGTTCATTGATGTACATTCAAATCATTCATGTTTTAAAAAGAGCAAAAGAGATCGCATGCTGTTTTGTCTATGCGCTCAGCCTCAGAGACGAGCAGAGCACACACATCTAAAGTCATCTTAATGTGAGTGTTTTAATAGTCAGATAGGTGTCAAAATGTGGTATTTAGTGATTATTTATATTAACCCTCATTTGTGTAATGAACAAACAAATTGAGAATCAAAAGACATGTGAAAGACAAACCATAAATCAGAACAGCACAGCTCTTAAAGTGACAGCGCACAATATTCCTGCTGCCGATCAAGAATCAAACAACAAACGGAAAAAAAAAATAAATAAATAAAAAAAAATAATAAAAAATAAATAAAAAATAAAAATCGCTCACTGCTTTTGACTGAAGGACTTTTATAGCTAAAGTTTTTCTTACAGTAAAGATGCTTGAACCACAGTTTGTTTCATATTTTTATTCTATTGTATTTATTTCCCCTTTCTTATTTACAGGGAGGAAAATAACTCTATACAGTTGAAGTCAGAATTATTAGCCCTCCTAAATTATTAGTGACCCTTTTCCCCCAGTTTCTGTTTATTGGAAAGAAGATTTTTTTTCCTAACACTTTCCTAAACATAACAGATTTAATAACCCATTTCTAATAATTGATTTATTTCATTTTTGCCATGATGGCAGCACATAAAGTTTTACTAGATATCTTTCAAGATACAAGCATTCAGATTAAAGTACGATTTAAAGGCTTAATTAGGGTAGTAAGGCAAGTCAGTGTATAACAGTAGTTTCTTCTGCAGACAAACATAAATATATAGCTAATATACAGGGGCTAATAATTTTGACCTTAAATTAAGTTTAAAAATATTTAAACCTGCTTTTATTCTAGCCAAAATAAAACAAATAAGCCTTTTTTTCAGTAGAAAAAAATATTATAGGAAATACTGAGAAAAAGTCCTTGCTCTGTTAAAACAACATTTGGGAAATATTTATTTAAATAAAAAAGTAATAATTCACAGGAATATATATACACACACACATATATATACACACATATATATATATATATATATATATATATATATATATATATATATATATATATATATATATATATATATATATATATATATATATATATAAACTGCGTAAACGCAAGACTCTTATCGCACGATAAAAAAAAACTATATATTTATTTTTTTTCCATTTCATCACAATTATAATTTTTTTTTTTAATTCAGAAGTATTTGAAGAAAGGTTATGCTGAATAAAAAGTGTATGTTTACATTTATGCTTTTGACACATTATTTAAATTATTTAGCTAAGAAATAGCTATTAAATTATTTTTTTTGTGGGGCAAGTAAAAATCTGAACATATGAACTAGTGTTCAAAAAAGCACTAGAATGTAGCTAATTATTAGTTGTCTACCTAATGAATATTTCTTTATTTAATAGCTATAGGATGCAGTGTGGAATGTAGTTAAAAATACTGAAAAATGTACAGTAAGTAATTACTTTTCGTCTTTAGTTCATTAAATTACACTTACTTAAAGTATTGCCTAAAATACAGTGCATTAATGAATGAAGCAGTTCTGTATAAATATTTAATTTTGCTCTACAAATATTTTTGCATAACTCAATTTTTCAACTGAAAAAAGTTCAAATTTGCCAGACAATTATACATACTTAAAAAACAATGAACTGAGCAGGAATTCTAGCCCCATTGAGCTATAAATAAAAAAATGTCAAAGGTATTTACTTGATATCGGTATATTGAGTAATTAGGTTACATTTCAGACAAGTAATTTAAATGCAGTTTTATTGATGTAATTAGTACTTAATTACTCATTCGCAGTAAAGTACCCAACACTGCTAGGATCTAATTAATAAGAACAAGAATAGTTTGACAGCAGCTTTATGTTTGATTGAACTAACTCTCCATGTAAGCAAATGCAGCATTAGACTACCTCAGTAAGAGCACCCCGCGGCAGTCCTCCATGCAGTAATCTGTCCAGAGCAGGAAGCGATGTTGAGAAACACAGCTCTTCCTTCCTCTTCCACAAATCCAAGGCCTGTCATCAAAAAGAGAATCAACTACTGATGAAAGACTGAACATGATGTCAAATGAACACGACTTAAAGGCATGGTTCACTGAAATTAAAAATTCTGTTATCATTTACTGTCCCTTGACTTGTTCCAAACCTGTTTGGGTTTCTTTCTTCTGTTGAACACAAGAGAAGATATTTAGAAAAAAGCTGAAAACCTGTAACCATCGACTTCCATCCACAGCATTGGTTTTTGCTACTAAATATTTCATTGGTTGCAGGTTTACAGCCTTCTTCAAAATATCTTCTTTTGCATTCAAAAGAAAAGAAAGAAACTCATAAATGTTTATAACCAATTGAGGGAGAGTAAATATTGAGTACATTTTCTTTTTTTGGGGTACTACACTTTTAATGCGGTAATAACTTACAGTGATGACAGCCGGAGCACAGGCTTTACTGACCAGACGCTGGAGATTCAGAGCCGCTGGGTAACTAAGTCCAGCCAGACGCGAAAGCTCCACCTGGGTGACCGACAGGACATCCTACAGGTCACACACACACATACACACATTAAAAGAAGTCTACTCTCGTTATGAAGAAACATTCAAGAGGTGGTCAGACTGTTTTACCTGGCAGGTTTCCAGCTGATGCCGCTTGAGTCTCTCGCACAGATCAGCTGAGACTCCGGATCTCCGCAACTTCTTACTTCTCATTAAAGCGATTAAAAAGCGCTATACTATTGTATTTTAACTATAAAACATGACACCCTTTAGTAACGGCTGTACACATTATGTAGACAGCTTTAATGTGAAGTTTTTCAATGGAAACCTGTTACAGGGTAAGTTATGAAAGTGTGAAGCGCGCCCGGAAACTGACGAGAAAATGTAGTGCATATTGGTTGTGGGTAATGTAGTTTATGAGTGTGACGACTGTTTAAAGTGCATTTAAACTTTTTTATATATGAATATGGGTAATTTTCAACTATTTTTAAATTATTTATATTTATAAATTAATTATTTATAAATAATTTTTTTGATCATATGTCTATATATATATATATATATATATATATATATATATATATATATATATATATATATATATATATATATATATATATATATATATATATATATATATATATATAATTTTGTTCAAATTCATCTTTTTTGTGAAACTAATAATAAAGCTTACTTTAAAAAAAAAATACTACCTTTCTATTATATATTTTTTCATATTATTCAACCTTTTGGGGGGGGGGGGGGGTGTTTTCACCTTGAAAACACCCCCCTGTGTGACAAGGTGTTTTCACCTTGTCACACAGCCAGAGTGTTAAACTTCAGCAATGAAAATAACATTTTAAAATATTATTTATCTGGTAACTATCAATGTATCTAAATTGAGCGCTAGTGAAATAAATTAGATATTTTATAGGTATTAGTGTGAGACTATTATAATAATGTGTTTATCATTACTATTCATTAATTATTTAATCAGCTGTTTCTTAGGGGCAGAGTGTAACCTTTCAATCAAATTTACAAGACACTCCAACAAAACCAAACATTAAAATGAACTTATGAACAAAAAAAAAAAAACTGTAAATTTGGGCAGCATTAAAATAGTAAAATTGTGTAATAAAACACCATAATTATTTTCTCACTGGTTTTTAGGGTTATGTTAGGTTATTTTGTTTACCATTATAGCATAAATAAACTAATTTAGCGCTTGACACAAATTAAATGATAACTGAAATTCTCTCTCACACACATCGTCACCTTAGAATCATAAGGTTCTATCTGCGTTCTGAATGATTTTGAGATATTAAGCTTCAAAGTTTTTTGCAATCCATATAGCAAACAGTGTGTGTGTGTGCAACAGTCCTCTTTCATACATTAACATAACAGAGACCCTAAAGGTCCTCTAAGTGTAAATTATCAAAGTTCTCTTACATTTGCAAATTGGAGTAAAAAACCCACGGTAAATGCAGATAGAACCTTCTCATTCTGAAAAGTCATTTTCCGCTTGGAATTATGAGGTTCTATCTGCCAGATAATTCATTGAAGCATTACTTATCAAGAAATACAATCAAAAAATATTTAGGTTGGTTTTGTAACAATATCTTGATGCTTGAGAAAGTTTACCTTTTGCTTTCTATAACATTTTTTTTTCATGTTTTAGGATGAATATTTTTTCTTGTTAAAATAAACATGCAAGGCTGAGCTAAATATTTTTTTTCAGTGCAGATGTTAATTTTATCTAATTAATATGTTAATATTTATTAAATTTTATGTTTTATATGAACCATTAAATTATATATATTTTTTTATATGCCCTATGAATTAAATGAAGTATTTTCCCTTCAAGGCTTAATTTTAAATTCAAAGACTTTAAAAGAAACAGACGATGACCAAATAAGTTTAATAAACACTGAAAAGTGTTTCACTGACTATATGTAAACAAATAAATATATTTCACATTTAATATATCCATTTTTAATATTCATTTAATATTAATATTTATGCATTTTAAAACAGAAATAAAATGAAGGGTTTATATTTCAATTAGCACGTGAGTGGTATATTATTACATCAGAATTATTATAGCAAACTGCACATTTTCACTTGGTCAATTTTAAAAAAAAATGACAACAACAACAAAAATTGATTGTGACACATAGAATTATTTCTTATTTATCCGTTAATTAATGTGTTCTATGTCTTTTATGCCTAAGGCTCATCATCAGGGGCGCACTTAACCAATAAGCAAGGTAAGCAGCCGCTTAGGGCTCTGCATGGGGAATATACGAAAGTATGCTAAAGGACTTTTAATTTGTCAGTAACCTGACTTAAGCGCTTCCGGTGTATTGTATGTCATCACAAAATCAGCACGGTTAAGGTCTGTTGTTGTTTTTAAAAAATCATCAATCTCCACTGGCTGAGTGATATCTGATATAAAGTGGGTCCCAGGTTGTACCAGAAGCACTGCATTAAATAATTTTTTCCCCATTATGTCTTTATTTGACTTGGATCATCTTCAAACCATGCTGACAAAACTTGTCATTTCATATCATACACCCGGCGCAATGTGACACAAGGCGCGGCGGCGGCGCAATAGTCTTTTGCTACTTTAAGCTTGGCGCAAGGGTCATTTTGAGGTGTTGCGCCACACTGTTTAAATAGCAAATGCATTTGCGCTCAAATGTGCGCCCATAGGCGTTCTGGTCTAAAAAAAAGCAGGCGTGTTTTGGCGCATTGCTATTTTGAGGAACTGTAAATTGTCACGACACTAGACGAAAATGATCCAATTGCAAGTGTTTAATAAAAGAAAAATGTAACAAAGGATACCACTGGAGTGAACTGGAGACAAGAAAGTTCAAAACAAGAGAGCCACAGGTCACAATGAAGACTTCAATGAACAACGAAGAATTCTGGAAAACAACAGACAGAAACAAGACAAACAACAGACTGATAACCAGAACATACCACATGAGAAAATATATAGCCAGGCAAATAAGGACCAGCTGGAAGATGATTAAGTGCCATAGGATCAGCGTGCTGATCCTATAGCACGCTGTCAACACAAAAGGTAAACAAACACACACCCTCACACATGACAACACACAAGACAAGATACATAACATACAGGAGGAACACACAGATCCATAAACCGAGACAGTAAATAGTCTGATCTTTAGACCAGAACAAAGTCGGTCTATTGTCTGGCGCAAAGTGCAGCTGACTCTTAAAGGGAATGGGAGATGAGACTCTGATTGGTTTATTCCTCAAACACACATATAATTCATTAAGAAAATAAACTCAACCCTTTTAGACCATGCACCACGGCGCCAAGCGGATTTTCCCGTCCTTAAGTTAGCAAAAATGCGTTCTGATACGCCCTGAAAGCGTTTGTGCCCTGCGTTTTGCGCTCTGCGCATGGACCGTCAAAATAGAGCCCTTAATGTAATGCTGCCAGATAAGATTTCAGGCGGAATCATTGCAATGGTTTGAAGTATTATAACCAAACTTAATGTATGTGATATAGACTTGACATTGACCAAACTACGTCAGTTTAAGACCCATTCTGGGTTTTGACAATTAATATAAATCACACAAAATTTATCAAAATACTTATGAAGAGTTTTTTTTTTTCTATTGTGATCAGACTGATCTTGCGGATTCCTTAGATCAGGGGTCACCAATCCTGGTCCTGGAAGGCCGGTGTCCCTGCAGGGCTTAGCTCCATCTTGCCTAAACACACCTGCCTGGATGTTTCAAGTATACCTAGTAAGACCTTGATTAGCTTGTTCAGGTGTGTTTGATTAGGGTTGGAGCTAAAATCTCCAGGACACCGGCCCTCCAGGAACAAGTTTGGTGACCACTGCCTTAGATCATACAGAGAACATTGATATAATTTAGTCCCTAATTGACACAACTCTCTGTACACCATCTTGAATTAGTTTAAAATCAGTTCTTTTGAATTCTACATGGATTATTAGTTCAATTTCCACCAATTTTGGCTCAGATCATGCTACTAAAAAGTTATATAATTTTACAGTTGCCATGTAGCTTGCTGCCATGTTTGTTTATGATGTGGTTGCTGGGCTGCTTGGCCCCAATAATTGCTGCTTGCAGCTATATGAGAAGTTTCATAAACTAATTTCCAGAGGAGCACGTGATATGATTGAGCACAGCTGGCCACTCATCTGTAATCAGTAATAATCCAATCCGAGTGATCCTAGGTTACTATAAATTGATCACTTTCTCCTTTTCTCCCTATCTTCATTTCAGAAGAATCCACTCTTCTACCCTATCTCCTCCTTTTCCTCCCCTTTCTAAAGGGGAAACTATCGAGACCTACCTGATCATGGATCCTCTGATATGCTTATTGACCGGGCGGGAGCCCTCGGCTCAAATATCTCCAAGCTCAGGGTTCTCTCCCGGGACAGCATGCCAAATATAAATGCTAAGCATATCTAAGTGGGAGTTCTTGAATTGTTATTTATGTTCATTGCTAACTGAGGATGCTATATATTTAATGAGTTTCACAAAATAAGATTGCACTGCAAATAATGCAATAAATCCTGGATGAAAACTGAACGTCTTTGTGCTTTATTTTTATCCATCATTCAAATAACATTAAGCTTGGTATTTTAACATGATATTAGTATCACAAGGGGATCTGTGCGAGAGCTCTTTTAAATTCCCTCCAGGTTATTTACTTTGCACGTATCCATGATATTGCGGCAGAAAAGCCAAAAGTAATTTGCAAACGTTCTAAGTTGCCCTATGATGTTCAATGGATGAACTTTGGGATGGATCATTCCACCTCGCTGTACTCGGTTATTTAAAACAATTCACTGATTGCTTACTGTTTAACAGAGATGACTCTCATGATTTACATAAAGTATCATAGGGCGTATAAGTTGATTACTTTATAGAATCACATTATTAAAAGATTATGAGGCGAGAAAGTGGAGAATTTAGATTTGCCATGGCAAAAACGTTTAATTAACATTTAATTTAATTTATTTACAGTTGAAGTCAGAATTATTAGCCCCCATGAATTATTAGCTCCCCTGTTTATTTTATTTTATTTTTTTTCAATTTCTGTTTAACGGACAAAACACATTTCTAAACATAATAGGTGTAATAACTAATTTCTAATAACTTAGGTCTTTTATTTTTGCCATGATGACAGTAAATAATATTTTACTAGATATTTTTTAATGGTATTTAAAGGCTTGATTAGGTTAATTAGGATAACTAGGCAGGTTAGGGTGATTAGGCAAGTTATTGTATAAAGATGGTTTGTTTTGTAGACTATCGAAAAATATAGCTAAAAGGAGCTAATAATTTTGACCTTAAAATGTTTAAAAATAATAATAATAACTCCTTTTATTGTAGT